ACACTTTGCAACAAGCGCTGTTCTGGATTATAAAAACATACTTCGACGTTTCAAATCATTATCAAATTTGGAACAAGGGCAGATAAAATAATGTTCTTCATGGCAGCTGTGATTTACTTTGATCCTATTTTCAAAAAATTGTCTCTTCAAAATGCATCAACAAAAATTAAAAACTGGAAGACGAGGCTGTAGCTAACTACTTGACGGCAGCCCGATTTGTTGAAATTRGTAGAAATAATGAAGCAGGAGGAAATAACTAAACGCACAGAGCAGCCTCGCACAATCTGGTCACAGCAGTTTGGGAAGAAAATGGCAGCAGCTGCTGACGAAATGTCAACATCCCTATAAGTTAAAGCGGAGTCTAAAGCATCTTGATTTATTTTTTGAAATCCCTTTGTTTCATCTTAGGTAAGAATGTTTTCAATTTAGAAAAATACCATCTTTGTGGATTTTAACTAGATTAAATACACTTTAAGCACATTTTAAATAGTCAAGTTAATCTGCTGCAATGTTTGTGTAGCATGCACTTAGGAATGTYAAGCTTTTTAAGAAAAATAGTGCCACAGTGTTCATGTAGATTTTTAAATTTACACTTTGTATTTATAGTTGCTTAAGTAACATGGATATATTGAGGACAAATATACAATTTATCCTCGATAAACACAGTTTTGTATAAATTTACACTTTTTCTCAACCTAATGGGTTTTATTATGCAAAAGTTATTTATTATGCAAATCATCAGGTCAGAACCTGAGTGCAAAAGCTGTTTCCATTCCATATTTTGAAAAGACGACTGTTAAAGTTRTCAAACTTCTTTAATTTAATACTTTTAAATTGGATGAAATATGGAAATTCAATTATTGTTTTCAATGTGCAGCACAGGTACAGGTCTGGAGATGCTCAAAAGTCCCAGCAAAGGTTTTAGTCCAGGAAAGTTAGGTTTCTATTCAAACGTAAAGAGCTTCTAGAACAGCCAGTGGAATAACATACAGCCTCCATATAATTGGTCACTTTGAAAACTCTTGAAAAGCTAGATGTGAGTCACTGAAGTCACATCTCTGCATCTACAAAATATGTTTGCCTTTATTTTCTGAGCTAATAGAGAACCTTCATGCATTTGGAGCRGCATTTTTCATCCACTTCATTCAAAGTAGATTGTCAGCTAAAGATTTTACTTAGAATTTCTGCTGACGTTGTTTTGAATTCTGAGGAAAAATACAGTAGTAAATGAATGAAAATATATTTTAAAGCAATTTGAAAATCCTGTGAAGGCTATTTTTTTATTTCCTTGAATGCATTTTTAAAAACGAGCATTCCTTGCTGCCTTTGAAGTTTTAAACTAAGATCTTTTTAAGTTGATAAATAAAGTAGACATTTTGGCCAAACTTTGAAAATAACAACCTCGGTATGTGTTTGTGAATCTCAGCTATAATAACTAATTTCAGCTTTATTCATGCTCATTTTTTGAAAATTTTATATAAAACTCATCCTGTGGTTCATGAGAMATTTTGTTGACAAACACGTTTGTGCATTAGCTGTCATATAGCACCCCTCCAAAACTAGCTTATGCCTTTTTTTTCACACAAAGCAGAAGGTTGATTAAACATCTGAGAAAATCTCCTCTAGGAGTTCAGCAGAATGRTAATCTACAAACTGAAAAGTGCAGACACAGGCTCTCTGCGATGGGGGGTGGGGTGGGGTCGGTGGTAACCTCTCCGTGTGATTCAGTTTTAGCTCTTAGAAATGTTCTTGTACTCGTGCACCTGCGTACCACATGAAAGGTAGCAAATGCGTCCTSTGTGTGCAGGTAGTAATTTATCTTAGCAAGGACAAGCTGTGTAATGTGTTTATGCAGAGGAGCTGCAGATCCAGCTGAGACCGGGATCCAGAGCAGATGTGAAGAGCTGTATTCACGGCCGGTTATCCCCCAGAAAGAAGGTGCTGTCTGAGGTCTGTCTGTCTGTCTGTGTGTGTGTGTGTGTGTGTGTGTGTGTGTGTGTGTGTGTGTGTCACAGCCCTCTGCAGACAGGGGGGTTAAGAAACTTTATCTGTAAATTTTACAACAAATTCTAAGTCAAGCGAGCTGCTGATGGAGAAAAAGTTGTGCTTCTGTGCAGAACACAAGAAAACACAAATATAGCAAAAAGAAGCTGAGATTCTAGAAAAAGCTTTTGCTATTTAATCTAGGTAACATATCATTAATCATACTTGGCTGCWATAAAGGTTCATAGCTCAGATAGTGGGCAGAACAGCAGAAGAGAGCTCATTATGGGAGAGAAACAGAGAAACTAGTTTATCTTTACATTTGATTGTGTAATTGTGCTTGGGAGCTGTAGCCGCACAAAATCCCTGCCTCTGTTCATAATGGTGTCAACAAATAGTTTCTGCTAGTCCAAGGCGACAAGTTTGATTTTTATTTTTCTTACCAAGCAGTAACAACAGTGGTTCAGTGTTCTCATCTAACTCTGCAGCAGGAGAGAAATTATTCAGGAAGGATTAAAAAGTTAATTTGCAAATGTCTGTTTCCAGCTTACTTATGAGCAAACTTTAATGAAACTTGTGGAAATTAATCTTTAACTGTAAATCTACAACTGATTCAAAAATGGCTGCCATCGACWGACTGTAGAAATCATAAAAATGGTTATACCTCAGTCAGTTTTACATAAAATAATCTAATATTTTAGACTGGTTCCAAACACACATCCTGAGCACAATATCTTTSTTCGAYCATTTTKCAAAAAATTATTTGGAGTCAACRCTGTTAGCAAAGTATCTCATGTACCATTAAGTGGAGTTTAATGAAACATTCAGGAAGCWTTTATTTGGTAAATCTCTGCAGTGATCACATTTTAGAGATTTAAGATGGTCAACACAGCCAACTGTCCTTAAAAACAAAACAAAACAAAACAAAAAATGGCTTTTATGTGCTACTCATTTAACATGATCCTGCTTGTCTGMTACCAAAATATTTCATGTACCACCAGAGGTGTCAAAAGTATTCACATTCCTTACTTAAGTAGAAGTATAGATACTAGGGTTTAAAATACTTTTTTGGAAGTAGAAGTATCAACTCAAGCTTTTTACTCAAGTAAAAGTATAAAAGTACTGGTTTTAAAACTACTTAAAGTATAAAAGTTAAAATAATYAARACTTWAAAAAGCCATTCAGGATAAAAGCTRAAGGGGTCGACACACGGGGAGCGACAAACTACAGCGARWAARGGCTGTCGTCGCAGCCAGGGTGAAACCCGACCTACAGGACGCGATAGCGATTGCAGCGTTGCGAATCGCGCTCTCAGGTRGCTTGTCTTCACGAAATTAGATTGGTTCTTCTACTGCCTCTTGTAAAGGTTATTGGTGGTTTACAAAAAAGTGGGGTGTACAGACGTGTAAACTAAACAAATCTTGCGATGCTAATGATATTGAAAAACAAACGCACACCAAGATACAATTTTATGAGGAAAAACTTAGTGGATAATTTCACCCTGGTGCCAACAAATTCCCACAAAGCTGCCTTTTTTTTAAGTAATCCCTTGGTGAAAGTGTTAGCTAACTGCAGTGTGTAGCATACTCTCCGCTCATTGGTCAGTCAATGAAACCCGTGCTGATTGGTTGTACGCCAAGCGACTGCGACAAAAGTTGAACATTTTTCAACTTTCATATGTTGCATCACAAGCTTGCGTATGCACGTCTACGTGTACGAGCGTGAAATTTCACATGCACGATTTTTGCCGGTCACTTGGCTGGAGGAGGGCAAGCGATTGTCGCCTCATCGCACAAGTTCCATAGGAAATGAATGGAGAGCGAGCGACGTCGCCTCCTGTGTGTCGAGCCCTTCAGGCTATGCCACAGTGTTCTGTAG